GGCAGACGTGCAACTGCATGAATCTTAAAAATAAGCACATGCGTTATTGTTAATATCTTTAATTTTGAACCTTAGACTGCGGACTCCCTCTTTTTGAGGATAGGGAGTTCGTTGGACTCCCTTGTTCAAAAGTTAATTTCTACCCCTGAGGTATATATTATTTAGGTATATTTTTGACATAAATTTATTTTATAGGTACCTATTTGAGCTGCTGGCTTCGGTAGGCATTAACGACGGGAACGTACTGTACCTGCTCGACCTGACGGATAAACTTGCTAACGAGTTGGCGTTGAACACGGAAGGGGGGGCCTTCGCTCGCCGGGGGGCGGGTCTCAACAAGGTCACGAATCTTCTCAAGGTCAGTGGCGCCCTCTGTGCACACGTGTTTGGCAGACGTTAATGACAGAATGCGATTCATGGCGACCGAAAATTCATTATTTTGCTGTTGCTGTATGTCAGGTTTTTCACTTTGTGCTGCAAATTTACTAAATTTATTTTTATATTGTGTAATATATCCGTGTTCAAGATTGCTTACGTAACATCATGCTGTATAATGCCAACTGTCCACAAAAACCTACAACAACACAGAAAACAATGTAATTTTAATATATAGCACAATTTTCGACGGCGTTTGGCGCTTTTTAAAAAAAACGAACAAATTTTCCGATTCTCACGTCCCTCCTCGCGCATTTCCCCGCAGTTCCTTCCGTTGATCAAAGGGCGTGAGGTGGCGCCGCCCGGTGGCCCGCAGGCGGGCGGGCGCGGCACCGGCAGCGAGTTCTATCGCACCTTCGTCAGCGTCGAGGAGCAGAAGTGGTCCGGCAGCAATAAGCAGCCGGCAAACCCGTGGGAGTCGAGCAAGTCGACGAAGAAAGGTGAGAATATTGGTCCTTTTGGTAAGGAATATGACATTGGGCCATGGTTGGCATTTGCTTGGCAATATGACATTAGGCCAAAACAAAATATAGGTGTGGTTACCGTTTCATGCCGAAAAAAATAGGGTAGGTAGGTAGGGAAAACATTTTATTTTATTGAAACATTTTATTTACGAACCATGTCCGAAGGATGTGCGTTGTGCCTTTGGAACTGTCCAATTCATTTTTTTTTTTTTTTTACTTTTTAAGGAAAATTGACAATAAAATGTTTAGGGTCGCTGGGAATAAATAGGGTCGGTCGGGAAACGGTAACCACACCTATATTTTGTTTTGGCCTTAGGCGATCGTTTGTCAATAAGTGTGTTCATGGCTAGGCGAGTCGCCTCACTGTCGCATAGGACGTTATTACGATGTGTATTATTATTATGTTATATTACCTTGTTATAGACCACGAAGCAAGGTGAATCCTTGTTCGGTGGCATGGTGAGTGAATCCTTGGTGAGAGGTGCCGCGATCGCATCCCGCGGCCTTCAGAAGGGCGTTACGGAGGCCGAATCCTATGGCGTTCGCGTGGTTTTACGACTATATAGGCTTTAGCGTTCGTTACCGCAGCCAAATCCTAGGCACTCCAGGGTTTGCACTTGCAAAATTTTGAGTCATTTGAATTTTTATGAAATTTTTACGGCGGCCGATCTTATGGTGTTCACGTGATTTTACGACAAGCCTTCAGCGCGCGTTACCACAGCTAGTTCCTAGGCACTCCTGGGTTTACGACTAGGCTTTAGCGCGCGTTACCACAGCCAGTTCCTATATGCACTCCTGGGTTTACGACTAGACTTTAGCGTGCATTACAATGAAGCAGGGTGAGAGATGCTGCAACCGCGTCCCTTAGCCATTAGCATTCAGCAGCCTTCAGCGTGCGTTACGGAAGCCAAATCCCACGTTTGTCGCGACCTGTATCAGCTATAATACTCTATAATATACTCTATGTAATATTAAACTAACAGCGCGTGCGCGTCTTTTCGTGTGTGTTACAGGTCGCACGCTGCACTACTGGTGTTTCAGCGCCACGATGCAGGACTACTACTTAATAACTAACGATGACAGCGCCGTTGTTACGTTGTTGTTAGGTCACACGCTGCACTACTGGTGTTGTTACAGCGCTGCCATGCAAGGCCTTACCACGTAAAACTAACAATGACACACGCGTATTGTATTACTTGTATACAGTGCACGCATGCACTACTGGTGTTTCAGCGCCGCCATCAGGACTACCACGTAAAATAACTATCGATGGACAACGACGTTGTTACGTTGTTGACAGGTCGGCACGCGCACATACTGTGAGTTTCAGCGCACACGATGCAGGACTATCCGCGTAAATAACTAACGATGACGACGCGTTGTTACTGTTAGTTGTTATGGTCGCACGCACTGCAACTACTGGTTGTTTCAGCGCTGCCATCGACCATGCAGGACTACCACGACGTAATAACTAAACGATGACACCGTCTGTACGTGTTGTAGTATCGCACCGCGTGCATACTAACTTGGTGTTTCAGCGGCCCGCCATGCAGGACTACCACGTATGATTAACTAAGCGATGACACACGCTTGTTTTACGTAATTGTTCGTAGTCTGCAGCGCTGTCACTAAGCGTGTTTCAGCGGCTGGCTCGGCATGCGCAGGATACCGCGTAATAACTAACGACAGTGAACACGCGTTGTTACGTTAGTTGTAGTCGCACGCTGCACTACGGTGTTTCAGGCTGGCTGCGGCCATGGCAGTAGACTACCGCGTAATAACTAAGCGATTATTGACATCGCGTTGTTACGTTGTTGTAGGCGCTATCGCTGCACTACTGGTGTTTCAGCGCTGGCTCGGCCATGCAGGACCTCGTCGCTAGCGGAGTTCACTGCATCATCCTCACCAGCGGCACGCTCAGCCCGCTCTCCTCCTTCAAGACTGAGATGAGAATGTAAGAGGCTATGTCTGCGAATCGAGAGGCGGGAAGAAGGCAGGTGTCAGTGCGTCTGCCACCGCCGGTAGCCCGAAATAACATTAGACGCCGGTAGGTCCGTGGTTACCGTTGTTGCTCGCGTCATAGGTACTTCGTGGTGAGAAGAAGGAGGGGTCACATCTGCCCCGCGGTAGCCCGAATAACATTAGACTGCTGCGGTCGTGGTTCTGTTGTTGCCGCGTCATTGGTACCATTCCGTGGTGAGAGGAAGGGGGGGGTCGCGTGCTGCCGCCGCCATTAGCCCGGCTAATGTTTAGACTGCTCACGATCCGCTGCGTTAACCGGTAGCTGCGTACTTGGACGTTACCCCTGGCAGGTAAGATTCCTATGATCGAGTTCCCTTCCCTTGCGATTAGCGTTTCGCCGCGGCGTCGCCGGCGGTTACCCCGCTCAGCGCGGTGTTGCTTTGCTGTGGGCGATGTGTTTAGCTGGGCTGCTGCATTATGGTTCTACTACTCGTGTCGAATAAGCGTGCAAAAACTCGCCGTACGTTTTTTTATTTTAACCTCAGATGCCGCTCGTGTACACAGATATTTCCACGTTTAAAGAAAAATCGCGCTCTGTAAAAAAGAAATGTTAGCGGCCGCTCATTGTGCTTTGTCTCATCCGCATTAAAGTTCCCGACGATTCGACGGAGACATCATATTTCGTAAAAAGCTCGGCGCCGTACAGGATGTAGGAGAAGGAAAATAAGAGAAGAAAGCCATCTGTGGACAGGACCAATCCCCGGGTTTCCGACCGCGTCAATTTTGTTTTGCATACGTATACTTCGTTGGAAGGAGAGAGAGAAGCCGTACTCATGGCAAAACGAATCTTTATTGAGATCACGGTAAAAACATTAATAATCTTTTGCCCTCAACAGCCGTTCGCCCGTGTGCATGGAAGCATAAAAAAATAACTTTGTTTAACAGGTCATAAAGATGCGTACCACGGGCAAACGCTACGAACCCGTGGAGAAAAAGGGAAGAATTAAAGCAGCAGTTTCTTGTTAACGAACCCCAGCGTTTCAACGTGTACAAATTTTGTCATCGCTGTCATGTCCGTTACAGTTAGAGGAGCAGATGAAGCTCAATCTTTGGCAAGCAAACTGCGTATTATTTTAATTAAAAATAATAATAATGTTTAAAAGCATAAATAAAAATAAATTAAGAAAAAGAAAATAAATAATTTAAAAAATAATTTAAATAATAATAAGTATAATTTTAAAGTTAAATTTAAATTTACTATTTGACCATTTTTTAAGAGTAACTATTCGTCCTTTTCCGAGTCGCAGCCCGTTCCCTGGTGCAGCTGCAGAAATGAGACACGTGTCGCGGAGATCAGTGTGTTCTCATGGGCATTGTGTCGCATGACCGACAATATCACCCACTGCTCAGACTCTCCTACCAGATAGCCGCAGCAGCACCATCCACCAGAAGTCCCTCGAGCAACACCTTAAGGCGTAGCGCAACCACTGCTATAGCCCGAATCTTGGGTACAGAACTCGTATGTACATTAAACATTACAATGTATATATTACATTGAATGATATATATGTAATATGTATAGACGTACATAATATACATGTTTAGATAGGAGTGTCGTGACTCACGGAATGGTAGTACATTGGTACATATGGCTGAGCAGTCATATTAGGTTTGGTTCAACCGTGTACAATAGTAGAAGCTATACACATTGGTTTCCATGGGATTTCTCGTGTTCTATCGTATCCTACCAGGTGTGTTCACGTGGAACATTTTGTTATCAGTGAACATAAATGAAGGTGTTCCCAATGCGTTTGCTGGTGTCTTCCATCGTGACTGAGTGAAAAACAATGTGTGTGCAGACCTGGCAAGACAACGGGAAGTCTCGATACATCGGCCGCAGGAAGAGAATCGTCCATTCGGAACGAAAAGGGCAAGAAAGCGTTCGAATCCGTAAGTAACGAATGTTACTATATTTCTTTGACTTATTAGTAATTTAAATTAGATGAAAAATAGAGTGAAATAATTGATTTGATTATATTTAAATTGTAATAATATAAACCAATGCTGTTTTATCTCTTTAATATTCCTTTTAATATAAATTTAAATAGTGTTTCAATATGAATTAATACAAAGGAAGGTAGAACCGATAATCATACGCAATGCTTTTTTTTTTAATACAAATTTAGCAGGTGTTTGCTAAATTCGACATCTTAACACACAGGCTTATGAAATAGGATTCCAAGTTTTGTCTGTCAGATTCAAATCCAAAAACTTTTTTTACTATATTTTCTTATTTTCAACCAAAGTTTAGGAGGACGCGCGACCGAACACAACAGCCTATTTATTATGTTTGGCCTAATGCTCACGGTCATCTGGTTTCAATGTACAGCCTCAGTGTTTGTTCAATTGGCCTGGCGGAACGGTTACGAACCGCGCGGCCAGGAAAACGTTAACATGCCCCGTATCAGTCTGACGTGCCGTCTTTGTCAGGCGATGAGAGCTTCTACGAAGCCATGCAAGGACCCCGGCGTCGAGTGACCGCCACCATCTTTGCCAGTCGCCGCGGTCAAAGGTCAGGCAGAAAGAGTCCGACTTCTCAGACTGAAGCGGGCGGGCGTCGGT